TAAATCTTAATATTTATATTAACTTAGCTATTTATAATATTTATAATATTACTTAGCTAAATTCTATATTATTAAAAAATACTTTATTACTCCTTAGGCGTATTTATATTAACTACGATAATTATAATATTAAGCTAGTTAAAAAAGACGCTTAGCTTAAGAAGAGTAAACTTATTAATAAGTATTTCTAGTTTATTAATTACTAATTATATACTAAAAATAAAGTAAGTTCTTATTAAAGTAATATTTTAACTAGCTAACTTCTTAATTAATTATTTAACTAACTATCTAAGTAATAGTTTATATATAAATAAGTTTATTTAGTAAATTTGTTTAGTAAATTTATTTAGTAAAATTATTTAGTAAATTTATTTAGTAAAATTATTTAGTTTAAATAGAGAGTAGCTTTAAGTAATATTAAAAATAATAAAAATAAAAAGAATTTTTATAAGCTCTAATATAAAGAGTAGTAAATATTAGCTTATTTAGCCCTTTTTTTAAAAACCTATATATTATTATTAAAGTCTAAAACCTCTATGGTTAAGGGCCGCCTCTAACTATTATAGCTAATTATTATAGCTAACTATTATAGCTAATTATTATAGCTAACCTCTACCGTCGACCTTTTTAGCTAGTACTATTATATAAGTATATTACTTAGCCTATTATTAATAAGTAATTAAAAAAGGTAGCTTACTTATCCTAAATTAAATAGTAGTTTTTATATAAAAATTACTATATTATATTAAGCACGTACTTAGGATATATTATATATATTATATAATTAAAAAGTATATTATATTATATAATTTTTTTTAAAAGCATAATCCCGTTAAGGTTAATCTTTTATATTTATAAAACTAAAAAAAAAACCACTATATATATATATATATATATATATATATTACTATTAATATAGTAGTTTCTTTCCGGCTTTATAAATATAAAAAATCGACCTTAAGGGGATTATATTTTTAAAAGAAATTATATAATATAATATACTTTTTAATTATATAATATACGTAATATATTTTAAATACGTACTTAGTATAATATAATAATTTTAATACGAAAACTATTATTTAATTTGGGATAAGTAAGCTACCCTATAGTAGTATTAGTTAGAAAGTTCGATAGTAGAGGTAAGTTATAATAATTAATTATAATAGTCGGCCGTAATAATTAGTTATAATAATCGGCCGTAATAATTAAAGGCGGCCTTCCTTAATTATAAAGGTTCTGAACTTTAATAGTAACGTAGAGGTTTTTTAAAAAAGGGCTAAATAGGCTAATATCTATTACTTTTTAGAGCTCGTAAAGATTTTTTTTATTCTTATTGTTTTTAATATCGCCTAATATTACTATTAATAATCTTAAACTTTATAAAAAGGAAAGTTAGAAAAGTAGAAAATTTTGAAAAATAGTCTATTAAGATAGTGAGAGTATATACTAATACTATATATTAATACTATATAAACGATACTAAGAATTGCCTAAGTAGTTAGTAAAGGTAGAATAAAAAAAGAAAACTTTTTTTAAAATAAATAGTTAAATAGTACTAATAATAGTAATAGTAATAGTAAGAGAAGCGTTTTTAACTTTAATAAAAAAAACGAAGTAATAAATATATATATATAAGTAAAGTTAAAATAAGGTAAATATTATAAAGTTAGTATTCCCCCTAACAGAGCAATTTACTAAGGCCGTACTATTTATTTTTATATTCTACCTTTACTAGTTACTCGGGCAGTTCTTAATATCGATTACACAATATTAATACATAGTATTAATAGATACTCCTACTATCTTAATAGACTATTTTTTTTTAGATTTTCTAACTTTTTAACTTTCCCTCTTATAAAGTTCATAACCACAGATCATTAACGGCCTAAGGCCGTACTATATATTACGTATTAAGGAAAACTAGGTATATTACGCTCTATACTTAATTACTAATTAAAATAATTAACTAACTCGATTATTATCTCTTTTTTATTAATAACTCCTAACTTTTTATTACCTATTTATAGGGCGAGTTTTATTTATTTTAATATATATAAGACTTCTTAATACTAACTTATATAAATAACTAAGTTTAATATAATCTTTTTTTTATATAAGTATTATGATTACTTAGGGGGTTTTATAAGAGCTATTTAAAGTACTAGCTTATTATTTTAACTTTATATACTTTTAATTTATTTATTATAATTATTATAACTAAGCTAGTATTAATATATTAAATCTTAATATTTATATTAACTTAGTTATTTATAATATTTATAATATTACTTAGCTAAATTCTATATTATTAAAAAGTACTTTATTATTTCTTAAATATATTTATATTAATTATAATAGTTATAATATTAAGCTAGTTAAAGAGGGTACTTAGCCCGAGAGGGGTAGACTTATTAATAAGTATCTTTAGCTTATTAATTACTAACTATATATTAAAAATAAATAAATTTATTTAATAGATTTATTTAGTAAATTTATTTAGTTTAAATAGAGCTTTAATTAATATTAAAAGCAATAAGGATAAAAAAAATCTTTATAAGCCCTAAAGAGTAGTAAATATTAGCTTATTTAGCCCTTTTTTTAAAAACCTCTATGTTATTATTAAAATTCAGAACTTCTATAGTTAAAAAAGGCTATTTCTAACTATTATAACCGATTATTATAACTAATTATTACGGCTAACCTCTATTATTAATCTTTCTAGCCGGCGCTATTATGAAAAAGGGTAGCTTACTTATCCTAAATTATATAATATATATAATAAGTAAGTAAGCTAAATAAGCGAGTGGGCTACTTAACCGCAACTATATTATATTTATAACTAAAAAGTAATACTAAGAAAAGTAATTTAATTAAAACTATTTAATATTATATATTTTAGATATTTTTTTAATAATTTAATATATTTATATATTATATAGTGGTTTTTTTTCCGGCTTTATAAGCGCAAAAAATCGACTTTAATAAGATTACGCTTTTAAGAAAAATTATATAATACGGTATACTTTTTAACTATATAATACGCGTAATATACCCTAAGTATATATTTAATATAATATAATAATTTCGATACGAAAACTACTATATAATTTAGAATAAGTAAGCTACCCTGCGGCGGCGCTAGCTAAAAAGGTTAATAATAGAGGTTAGTTATAAAGGTTAGAGGTAGCCCTTAACTATAGAAGTTCTAAATTTTAATAGCGATATAGAGGTTTATTAAGTACGTACTTAGGGTATATTATACGTATCATATAATTAAAAAGTATACCGTATTATATAATTTTCTTTAAAAAACGTAATCCTATTAAGGTCGATCTTTTATACTTATAAAGTTAGAAAAAAAAACTATTATATAAAGTTAATATTATTTTTAATACTAATAACGAGTATATTTTTAATACTATACTATTATAAGCTACTATTATTTAAAAAAATAACTAACTTAGCTAAATACGTAATAAGCTTATAAAGTAGTAGTATTAAGTTCTTAATATTATTATTAATAATTTATAGTTATAAACTTTATAAAAGGGAAAATTAAAGAAAATTTTTAAAAAATAGTTTACTAAAATAGTAAGAATATTTATTAATATTATTTATTAATACTATATAATTAATATTAAGAACCGCCCGAGTAGTTAGTAAAGATAAAATATAAAAATAAATAGTTAAGTATATAGCTCGTTTATTTAAATAGCTCCCTTATTAATTATATTATATTTAAATATAAATTTATTTATATAATTAAAAACTTATAAAATATTATAACTTTCTTATAAAAAGTAAATAAACTAGTATACATAACCCGTGTTTTTTATAGTTATTTTTAATTAACTAGTTGACTCTATATATTTCACTGTTTTAGTCTAACTATTAGGCGCTCGACTAGTGTAGGTATTTGTAAGGTGCGTGCTTCCTACAACAGGGCTTCTACTAAGACACCTGGTATGTCAGTCAAACCATAGTTCCGTCAGCATTTGCATCTACCCAGGTAATAACCCGAGATTAGACCATAATTCCCGGTGAGGTGGCTGCACTATGCTGCAGGGTACAAAGATGCATAACTACCTTGCGGTAGACCGTCAAGATGTCTGCACCTGTGAGATCGTAGTAGTGACATTCGGTGGCCTGCCACCACTTTTGTGGCTCGCCAAGCAAGGAGGCCACAATGCTATACATCGAGATCTCGCTAGGTTACACTTACGGCTGGGATCCTACTGACCGCCTCTGTTGAGCAAGGTTTCATTGTTAGGCACAACAGTGTTATGGATAAGGCTTCGGAATAAGACACGTAAAAGGTCGGTGAGCAAAAGTCTCTTGATGTTTGTGATGGTTATTTGTGAGACATGGAAGGCGTCTTGCGAGGTACTCTCAAGTCGAAGTCCAAATATACTTGGCGGTCTCTGCTCAGACAGCATTGTATCACTATGCTACCAACTTTTGAAGGCGTCATTATCTTCGTCTCCGGTTTTTCCCTGACTCCCCCCTGCTATCAAAACTATTCATAGGCGGATGTAAGGAAAATAGGATCGGACAGATATGTGATTCGTTGTTACCCTTGAAGGAAGTACGTGTATACATATATATTTATATTGACGCCATCTAGCAGTCGATGGGGCAGATATTCACGAAGCCAAGACTCCGAGACTTAAAGGTTGATGGCTGTGCTGTCCCGGCCAGCAATCCCTCTTCTCTCATCTAAGATCATCATTTGTCAAAATCTCCATCAGCATGTCGGCTCTCATCCCAGAACATGTACGGGATGGATGCTCAACCCCAGCCTTTGAATTCATCTTGGCCACTGTCTTTCACAGTATTGCAATGTACAATGTCGTCGAACTAGATTTATTGATCTGGAGTACCTTTGTGCGTAGGTCTGGGCTGTATTTTTGGAGCTTCGTCATTGCCACAAACGGAATCATTTTTATTCTGTCGGGTTCGTCCTGCTAGCCTACACCCTGCAGTCGCCAGATTATTACATGATATTTCTTCTTGTTCTAGGGACAATCCTCATGGTTTCTGGTCAATCTATGGTGTTGTATTCTCGTCTTCATCTAGTAAGGCAAGAACCCCTTGTTCTCCGATCTGTCCTTCTTATGATCATTATTTTCGGGACTGTTACACACACCCCAACCATGGTGTTTCAATTTGGTACTACTGCGAAACCCCTCAACCTTATCACATGGTTCAAAGTTCTCTTCGTTTGGAGGAAAGTCGAAATGACGATGTTTTGTATCGAAGAGTCAATTATTTCGGGCTTATATATCCACGCAGCCATCAGCTTTTTTAGGCTCAAAACATCCGCCCACGGAAACCCAGTAAAGGACCTGGCCACACCTCTTCTAGTGGTCAATGGGTTTGTTATATTCCTCGACCTGACGTTACTTGCGTCAACTTTCGCCTCTTTACCTACGGCTCAGCCAGCATACAGAGCACTCGTATACAGCGTTAAGTTAAAGGTCGAAATCAAATTACTCAACTCTCTCGTTAAGATTACACAGCATCCAACTGTCTTGACACTTCCAACTATTCCACGAAGTTCAACGTCGGGCACTCCAGTAGCAAATGGCCAAGAGATGTCATGATTCCAGTAACCGCATAACTCTATTAGACTCGATAGCCTTATTGGTAGGTTATTTATTCTTGAGCTCCATAGCTACTACAATGACATTATTCACTTACTTAATCCCTAGGGATCAATGGCTCGATATTACGACACAATAAGCCACGCAGTCATTCTAGTGGGGTTCGCAAACCCCGAACATTCGTACTCTCGGCGTCCAGCCCAGTACGCCAGTAGACGCATAGGCCCGAGCTTTTCACAGCTGTAGACTGCCTGCAACAACCTACATGCTCTCTACAGACACTCAAGGACACCTCACAGGGCCGACCTGTGGTTCGGAATCTATAAGAAAGCTGTATATTTTACAATTGTACAAGGAAGACGTCGCTCCCACTATTCTGATCCTGCCCATACCTGTCCCAAGCCTCTTCCCATTCACGCGCTGTGTCATGCCTCTTTGATGCTACTCGTTGTTTACTCGCCCTTCAGCTTGTCCTGCTTGACGGAGAAAGCCATCTCCAGGAACTCTTGCTCCTCCTTGTTGTGCAGACCCTTGTTACCAGCGGCGACAGATGCACTGGGGCCACGGCCAGCGTACATGACGTGCTTGCGATCGTGATGCTGAGTGTTATTGAGCAAGGTCTCCAGGCGAGGCTGGACGAAACTCCAAGCACCAGCGTTCAGGGGCTCCTCTTGGCAGTAGACGATGGTCTTGGCGTTGGGGTACTGGTCGAGGTTCTCCTTCAGTTGTTGCCAGGGGAAGGGGTTCAGCTGCTCGATGCGGGTGAACGCGACGTTGTCGATCTTGTTATCGGCGCGGTACTTGGATAGAGTAGCCCAAACCTGGCCAGAGCAGAGAATCACGCGCTCAATCTCCTCCTTAGGCTTGATGACGCCAGTCTCATGCTCCGGGTCGGGGATGATCCAGCGGAAGTGGGAGTCGCCCGAGAACTCCTCAATGTTGGAACGGGCCAATGGGTGGCGAAGCAGAGCCTTGGAGAAGAAAATAATGAGAGCTAATGAAAGTGAGCCACAAGAACTACAAGTATGGGATGATCAGAGTAAACTTACGCTTGCGGAATTGGCGATGCATCTGTCTGCGAAGGATGTGGAACAGGTTGGAAGGGCTAGTCATGTACGCGACCTGCATGTTGCAGTCTTGGTGTTGGCGGTCCAACTTCTCAGGGGAGGGGAAAACGCGAGGGTCCTCGTTGCTCAGCTGTAGCCATCTCTCGAGACGACCAGAAGAATGCTCTGGACCCTGACCGTCGTATCCGTGGGGCAGAGATACGACAAGACCAGTTCTTTGCATCCACTTGGCCTCACCCGAAGCGATGAATTGATCAATGATGCACTGCGCGTTGTTGGCGAAATCACCGAACTGAGCCTCCCACATGACGAGAGCATTGGGAGAAGACAGAGAGTAGCCGTACTCGAAACCGAGAGCGCCAAACTCGCTCAAGGAAGAATTGGAGATGACAAACTTGCCCTGGTCCTTGCTGACGTGCTGAAGAGGAGTGTGAGTGTCTTCGGTCTCCTGGTCGTGGAAGACAGCATGGCGCTGAGAGAAAGTTCCACGCTCAACATCTTGACCAGAAACACGAACGTGGTGGCCCTCAGTGACGAGGGAGCCAAAGGCAAGGGCTTCCGCAGTGGGGAAGTCGATGTTCTTGCCCTCGACCACAGACTTGGTCCTGTTAGACAGAATACGCTTGAGGTTGCGATGAGGCTGGAAGCCCTCGGGGGTGCTGCCAATGACCTCGCCAAGGTGGTTCAAAGTCTTGCTGTCCACGCTTGTTTCGTTGTGAGGAAGGACCTCAGTTGCAAGCTCCTTGGGAGACTTGAAACCGTTCCACGCGGAGGTGGTCCATTCCTTGGAGGTGGGTTGGTAGTCCTTGGACTTGGAGAAACTCTCCTCCAGCATACCCCAGACCCACTGCTTGTGCTCCTCGATATCTTCTTTGGTGAAGCTGCCGTCCTCGAGAAGCTTGTTGACGTAAATGGCAATCTGGGACTCATGGTCCTGGATGCGCTTGTACATGAGAGGCTGGGTGAAAGAGGGCTGGTCGGTCTCGTTGTGACCGTGCTTTCGGTAGCAAACAAGGTCGACAATGACATCTTGCTGGAATTCAGCACGCCAGTCGGCAGCCATCTGACACACAAAGTTGACAGCCTCAACGTCATCGGCGTTGACGTGGAAGACGGGTGCGTCGATGGCCTTGGCGATGTCGGTGCAGTAAGCTGTGGAGCGGGCAAATCGGGGATCGGTAGTGAAGCCAATCTGGTTGTTGACGACAAGGTGAATTGTACCGCCGGTAGAGAAGGCAGGAAGAGAGTGGAATCCAAGACATTCGTAGACAACACCTTGCGCGGCGAAGGCAGCATCACCGTGGAGCAGAACGCCCATCGCTGTGCGATGCGTCTTCTCATCATTGTTGTAGTGTTGGATAGCGCGGGTCTTGCCGAGCACAACAGGGTCTTCAGCCTCCAAGTGAGAAGGGTTGGCGACAAGGGAGAGCTGGACGCGCTTGCCGGAGGGTGTAGGGCGCTCAAAGTTCATACCAAGATGGTACTTGACGTCACCGGAGCCTTCGTCCTCGGCGCCGGCAGTTCCGGCGAACTCGCTGAAGATTGACTCGTTGGGCTTTCTTACGACGTTGCTTAGAACATTTAGGCGACCGCGGTGAGGCATGCCGATGACGATGTCCTTGACGCCGTAGTCGACGCTGCGATCGATCAACGCCTTCATACCGGGGACGAGAGTCTCGCAGCCTTCGAGGCCGAAACGCTTATCGTTCGGGTATTTCGTGGCAAGGAAGGATTCGAAGCTGGAACTCCAGATGAGACGATCGAGAATGCGGCGCTTTTCGTCGATAGAGTACTTGAAAGGTCGGGGGACCTCGATTCGTTCACGCAGCCAGTCGCACTTCTCTCTGTCAGGAATGTGGATGAACTCAATGCCGTAGGCACCGCAGTAAATCTTCTCGCAAGCATCAATGATCTCGCGGAGGGTCATCTTCTCGCGACCATCCTTCTTGAAGCGCGGCAAGATACCAGGACCAAGCTCGTACTCGGCGTCAAGATCCTTCTCAGAAAATTGATAGTGCTCAAGAGTCAGTTCCTTAGGCTTGATGTTACCGAAGCCCTGAGACTCGTTTCGAATCCCAAGGGGATCGATGTTGGCCTTGTGGTGGCCTCGAGCTTGGTAGGCGCGCACCAAAAGCTGGACCTTGAGATGGTTTGTAATCTCAGAGCCCTGACCAAGACCAGCGCCGAGTGCTGGAACGCCGCCAATGGCACCAGGAACCAGAGAAGGCGGAGGAGTGAAAGCCTGGGCAATGGGCATGTCGCCGTTCTCCATGTTCTTGAAGTAGACTTGCCATGAGACGTGGACGCTCTTGGGATCTTGCTTCCACTGCATGTACATCTCGTCAATGTAGTTGGCAGTGTTGCCGGACAGGAAGTTATCGTTAGGGTTTGGTGCATTGTCGGTCGCGCTCGCGTAGTGACGTTGGCTGGTTAAGGCCAGGGGGCGACGGGCAGCAGCGAGCTTCCTCGTCGAGGTCCGCGACGCGATGGTAGAGAAGCATGATGATGAGCTTGTAGGTTTTGAGGTGTGAAGCACCCGAGTGCCGGCTCTACACACAGAGCTTCGCAACATGGTGGCGGATAGGGCGGTGGTGGAGGGAGTTCGTCGCCGTGAGCTGGATGAGCATGGAAAAGATGAAAGGAGGCAAGCAAGGACGGAACTTTGTCGGTCCTCGGGAGTAGGTGGTCGGGTTCATACGGGCCTGCGGCAAATCTGTCTTGGACTGGTGGAGAAAAGCTATCGACCCACATGGGTAGGTACGGATGCTCCATACGGCTGACCTACCTTACACAGCTGACCTACACTTGCATATAATTCGCCATTTCAGCCCGGTAAGAGATAGAGACCTGGATAAATCAATATTTTCCGTTATGCATACAGAATCATGATGCTATTCGGCCCTCTGGGCCCTTAGGAAAATACCTTGGGTGAGCTGGGAGGTGGCGCGCCTCCTGTGGCTGAAAGTGGCTAGTGATCGATGAACGAAAGGTCTCATTGGTCGGCAACCCGTGCACAAGAGAGACAAGTAGGTATCCGTATAGAAGCATTATTTTAATTACAGCTTTCTTTTACCCTTCATCTTTATTCTTCATGCGCATCAAGACTTCAGAAACGTCTCTCCATGGAACTACGTTGCTTTGCCTCCAAGAGTCATGTCTACTTACTAAACTATGATAAGCTAGGACTGTCAGCACGTTGATCCCTAGTACGGCGTCATTCGTAGTGACTTACTTCGATCAGCTTCTCGGTCAGAAGGAAACATTTCCTATCCTGGTCCTGGCTGAAGTTGAACGAACATGAACGCCACAACCCGCTGAAACCCATATCCTCAAGAATCTCATTCAAAACGGCTGTGGACTCTAGCGCTGTGCTGAACTTTGGATTTGACGTGAGTGCATGTAGCAAGTCTTGCGCAGACTCCAAAGTCGACGAATTCTGGCAATGCAGAAGCACATCGTCCAGGATAGAAACAATAGGCCCACAGCTGTGGTTCAGTCAGTCCAAGGGTCCGCTTAGGTGGGACAGGAGAGTTAGTAGCTTACAGGTGCATAATCACAGACGGCCTAGCTGCTGCTAGTTCCGTCAGCCACTGCAATGTCCGGTTCTGCAGTGCATCCTCCAAGTACTGAAAGTCAATCAACTCGATGGCCGTGTTCAGGAGGAGATCTTTATCCTTCATGCCGCCGAGATCATCGTATCTCTGCTGGCCAGTGACATCTCGTAAAAGGGAAGGATCAATACCCGCAAGCCATAGATTGTCCCTGAGCTCATCGCTCTCGACCGTTCGTGCGAGGATAAGAGCCATGTAAGGCGACCGAGATAAGTCGTCAGGCGGGCTCCCAGCGTCACCGACAGGATTGCCAGCCATGTCTAGGAAGGCCGAGAGTACTCGCATGGCATTCGTCTTCGTGGTAGTGTCCGCAAGACCACGA